CCAAATTATGGGTTTAATAAAAATTGAGGGTACCTCAATTTGCACACAGCAAATTAATGGCTGGGCTGGGCCCAGATGCAGGTCTTCTGATCCCTAGACCAGAATATTTTCTGCCATACTATGCTGCCTATTTTCAGTTCCTGAAATTAGTTCCAGACATGACAATCTTTTCCTTTTAACCAAGTAGTGAGCATTCTATGGAGGTCAGGGAGAGCTACTTACTATTGAAATATATTTGTGGACTACATACATCCCAATACAAAGCTAATTTTTGGAAGTAGACTCTGTTTTTCTGTCCTCTCTAAGTATGAGTATGGAGATACATGTTTCTAAAATTTTTCTTTGGTACACAAAATGGAAAATACTTAGTTGTCACAGTGGTGACCAGTTTCAAGCAAAGTCAAATTCACTGTTCCCCACCCGCCCCCAACTGTTAGTTCCCTCCATCAGTGCTTCTCTGTTCCTAGTTAGCACAGCACCTGCCTTGCAGACACAAGCTTTCTGCAGGCTTCAGGGTATTCCCAGTCTCAGATGAAATGTGGATCGCTTTTTCTAGAGCTTAGAAGCCTATACCTTTCCTAATAGAAAAACCTCATCTCTCTCCCACATCCCTGTTGCTTCTATGGACTGGCCCACCTGGTCAAGACTGTCATTTACATATTCCCTCCAAAATTCTATTGAGCTTCATTTCATGAGTTAACATTTTAAGAAAACAGGCTTTTTACCCTAGGTTCCCTTTCCCATCGGACCTGAATGCCGATCTTGGTAGCCGTAAAAGGAGGAAAATTAATACTGAAGCTGGCCTCAGGGTGCTTGTAATCTGTGGACTAGTTTCAAACAAGGTTGAAAAAATTAAAAGGACAGGCTTTTAAAATTTTATTTCATTTCTTTAAATTTTTTAAATTAAAAAAAATCTTTCAATTACAATTATCACGCAGTGTCAATTATACAACATAGTGATTAGACATTTATATAATTAGGAAGTGAGTGCATGGTAAGTCACGTACCCATCTGACACCATACACAGTTGTTACAATAATCTCTATGTTGTAATTTACATCCCATGACTGTTTTTATAACTGGCAGTTTGGATTTCTTGTCCCCTTCACCTTTTCCTCCATCCCCTCACCACCATCACCTCCCCCCACTTCCATCTGGCAATCGTCAATTTTTCTCTCTGCATCTAGGTTTTTGTTTGTTTCGTTGTGTGTTTGTTTTTTAGATTCCATACGTAAGTGAAACCTTATGGTATTTGTCTTTCTCTGACTTATTTCTCTTAGCATAATACCCCTAGGTCTATCCATGTTCTCACAACGGCAAGATTTCATTCTTTTTCACGACAGAGTAATATTCCATTGTTATTGCTGAGGTGATAGAGCGTTGGTCTGCGGACTGAAAGGTCCCGGGTTTGATTCCGGTCAAGGGCATGCACCTTAGTTGTGGGCACATCCCCAGTAGGGGGTGTGCAAGAGGCAACTGGTCGACGTTTCTCTCTCATCAACGTTTCTGGCTCTCTCTCCCTTCCTCTCTGTAAAAAAATCAATAAAATATATTTTAAAAAAATATTCCACTGTTATAAATGTACCACATTTTCTTTATCCAGTTGTCTATTGATGGGCACTGAGGTTGCTTCCATATCTTGGGTATTGTAAATAATGCTGCAGTAAACATAAGGGTGCATATGTCGAATTAGAATTTTGGATTTTTTTTTTGAAAAAATATCCAGAGTGGAATTGCTGGGTCACATTAGCTATATTTTCAATTTTTTTTAGAAACCATCACACTATTTTCCATAGTGGCTTCACCCATTTACATCCCCACCAATAGTGCACAAGGGTTACCTTTTCTGAATATCCTCAACACTTATTTGTTGATTTATTGATGATATTCTGATAGGTCTGAGGTGATAGCTCCTTGTTTTAATTTGCATTTCCCTGATGATTAGTGATGTTGAGCATCTTTTCATATATTTATTGCCCATCTGTATGTCCTCTTTGGAGAAATGTCTATTTAGGTCCTCTGTCCATTTTTAAATTTGAATAGTTTGGATTTTTTCTTTTATTTTATTTTTTAATTTCTTTTATTTATTTTTTTTTTGGTGCTAAGTTATATAAGTTCCTTATATCTTTTGGATACTAACTCTTTATTAGATATATCATTGGTAAATATATTCTCCCATTCAGATTTTTTTGTTTTGTTGATAGTTTTTTGCTGTACATAACCTTTTAAGTGATCCATATTCATTCTTTGCATGAATCTGTCCAATTTTCCCAATACATTTATTGAAAAGACTGTCTTTACCCCATTGTATATATTTGCCTCCTTTGTTATATATATGCACATGGGTTTATTTCTGTGCTCTCTATTCTGTTCTATTTATCCAAATGCCTGACTTACTGTCAGTAAAAATAAAGACAGTCATTTTTATATAAATGTGAAAAATAATTAAGTTTGCTTTTATAAATAATACTCCCATAATTCTGATATGTTGCTTGCAGACGGGTATGGACAAGTGGAATGTTGAGACTCCTGGTTGATAGTTACTGAAGTAGATACCCACCTTTTGCTTAATATTTTTGGTTTTTTTAATGTCTAATTCTAATAAAACTAAGTGTATCACAGTTTGTTATTATTCAAATGTGACATATGAATTAAAACTTTTGTGTAAGTCCATATGAAATTTGACATTAAGTTTAATGTTAAAATGTATCTGGCCTCTACACCACATTGCTTTACCATTTTTTTCTCTTGTTTTTTCTCTACATTCATGAACACCTACTTTTAATAATTATTTACAACATTCCTCACCCAGTAATAGAATGTAGTTATGTATTAATCATTAAGCAACCTTAACTATTGTTTGTGCAGCTAGAAGATTGTGCCAGCAAAGTGTGATTTTCTTGTAACCTGAGCTGGGAAGGGAACTCACAGAATAGAACAGGGTAATAAAAGGTGACATATTGGTGTCACATCAAAGATCATCTTTTTCCAAAATTACTTAACCTTTTTTGCATAAAGACATACAGGGTTTTTTACAACTTGCTGTCCAAGAAACGCCCATTTTATTTTCTCTAACTGAAGCTGAGCCGCTTCAAGCCCCACCTGTGTTTGTGTGGGAAGTTAAGTGTGCTATCCTGGTGTTTCGCGCCCTCTCGCAGAACGACCATGTCAGGGTCCTCAGGCAGAGAGAACATTAAGAGAAGTCTCTGGTCCACACCAGTTACCATGACTACTGTCCAAACACCACGGTCCTTTGTAATCAGGATACTTGGCAGCACTTTTGGGGATGGGAGTCTGGCTGGGAGCTGCTGTGACTGGGATCCAGCTCTTCTGGATGTACAGGTGCTCCCTTCTCAGGCTTAATCATCCCACAGAGGTGCCCCTGAGGAGAAAGGCAAGGGGCTCCATCTCTTAGGAAACCCACATCCTTTCATCCCTTTGCAAAGTATTGAATACTCTTCTTGTTTCTTTGGCTTCTCTTTTACCTGCTAAAGGCCCATGTTTGTCTTTTCCCATCTTACAACCTAATGCTCTCTTTAAAACGAAACCTTCCAAGGAAAGTTGTCTCCAGGGGATCTGGCACCAAATCCTCCTGAGGAAAGGGAACACAAAGACTCGTCCACCTTCCTTGCACCAGGAGAGCAAAACTCAAACAAGTATCACAATAGATTCTCCTGTATAATATGTGACACACAGAACACTTAACGTGATGATGGTGTTAAAGTAACAAGAAAATCATTTCTTTATGTGTATTTGGCAAGTTTCAAAAATACCTTTGTCATTCCCTAATGTGCTGTCATATCTATTTGATATCAATATTATCATCAGAGTTAACCTTTCAGGTGAACAATGTCAGCCTACCCTTCACCTCTTTTTCTCAATTCTGATCTTGCCGCAGGCATAGGAGAGGGGCCAGATTCTCTCTCTGCACCATGGAGTGCAGCAGTGGACATTTCTCCCATAGACAGGACGGTGGTTTCTAACCTGGATCCCCAAGGAGGACAAGATGCAGGAGGAAAACTGAGACCAAATGTGCTATGTTCCAGGTTCCCCCAGCCCCATTTCAATCACACCAGTTGAGTCTTTTCACCTGCTTTACAATTTAAATGCCAGGGAAATTTCTTCTGAATGAAGGATTCATTGTTTTAAAATGTTGGAAAAGTCACTGAAGGATTTATACAAGTATATACCTGCAACTTTTGAAATTATCCAGTATTTTGAGTTAAAGGTCTCCCTTTTTTCAGTGGTGTAATTCTGTAGTATAGAAATGAAACTTCCCCTTAAAATACTTTGGTTGCTTAAAAATAATTTATATGTGAAAATCCCCAAATGATAGGCCAAATTTGGGGGACAGTATGACTATCGAGACTCTCAGTCATTCTTCTGGGTAAGAGATCTCCATCATGGAGGGTGGCTGATACAAACTATGCTGCTCGCTCTACTGAAATTGTGGGTTGCCATAGCTCATCTGTTCACTCTACAGAACAAAGTAGTTCACAGAATGCATGAAGGAGCGCCAACCTCAAGTACTGAACCATGTTCTCATTTCATCAGAACTTAAAAATTTAACTCTTTCTTGATACTATTTTTTGGGTTATACTAATCATCAATCATATATGTTTATATCGAACTACTGGTTACTCAACTTTAATAACAGTTATTATTTGGAAGGTTTTAGAATTCAAATCAGATAACCATTTAAAAAGTATTTTTAAGTACTGTTAACTTTATTATGTCTAGCCTAGCCAAATAACATATAAGCTATAACATTCATTAGAATTCGTTTCTATGAGACAAGTTTAAATTAAATATTCATGTTAAGTATTTTAGAATGACATTTTTATTTTAGATACTAATTTTTTCTTGTGAAAAACATAGTTGAGTAGAGCTATTTCAGTGTCAGACGTTTTTAGTAATCTGTATAATATAGCTTTCAGATAAGAGTTCCTTTTCTTACTACTCTGCTACTATTTCCCTAATACATAAGAATATCATTTCTATTAGTATCGAATACTAAAATTAGAATACTCAAGTTTAGAGATGGTTTTTTCGTTAGAAAAGTCCGTGCGGTCAATGCGAGAACTAGGACTTCCAACCTTGCTCAGCCAGGACTTCCTACAAAAAATAAACAAGTAAAAATTAGCATATAAAGTATATATAGACTAGCTAAAATGATCCTACAATGGGAGTTTATATGCAAAAGTAACTTAATAAAAGTAATGTAAAATATAAATGTTTCAAAATTTTATAATTTTAGAAAATATAAAATATAAAATATCAGAATACCATAGAGTTTAATATGTAATTAACTATGGACAAATAACAAATTAAGCACAGTCAACTACTGATATTTCATACCAAGGTTATTCCCACCCTCCCCCGCCTTAAAACATCTGAGGCCATTACTACCTAGCTGTTGAGTTATACACAAGAGTTAAAGTATTTTTTTCTCATTACCCAGCACATGGTAGATGATATACATACACATATATGTGTGTGTATGTGTATATATATATGTGTGTGTGTATGTGTATATATATATATATATATACACATGTATACACACACACAGGAGGGAGGGAGTGGAGGAAACTGGAGGAAGGTAGGGGAATAGATAAAAGAAAAAATGTGATTTTCCATGAACATTGTTTATTATACAAAAACCATTTCTTACCATGTTAGCAAACCATATGTATTAAAGGGCCAAGTTAAGTGTGAAATTAGTGATATCCATAGGGCCAAGTTAAGTGTGAAATTAGCGATATCCATGTGTCTAATTTATGCATTGTGTACTTACCCAAGATGCTTTCTATATAACGAAGGCTTATTTTAATGTACTTGATAACTCAGATAATTACTGTTGATAGGTAGAAAGTTTCTAGTAAACTCTTAATAATTAGTTGGGATGACAGAGTAAGTGGGACTGCTGGTTAATAATATGAGGTCACTTATCCAGCTGTTGTAAAAACATTCCATGACTTTCCTCATATCCCCAAAATTATTTCTGGTTGTGAAACTAGAGTTGTGTTCAGCTGTGAATAGCATATTAACATCTCATATAACCTTGAATTTAAATTATTTTCTAGGCTCAAGTTGTCTGATTAGCTGAGAATTAGTGCTAGGCAAGAGAAGATTTCTAATGCTTCAAATTGCCATTGTGCTATGTAACATTTTCTGTGGTTCTTGTGACAGTTTTACTGGGAAAGGTGACTTTTCTTCTTTTTTTAGAAGCTAAGCCATGAGCACAGCAGCACATTTTACTTTCTTCATCTCGTTTAAGTGAAATCTTGAAATCGCATGTGTTTAAGAATAAAATTTAGTTATTATGAAAATGAGCTAATAACTTCAATTTTACAAGTCAAATCTCTTTGAGACCTTCTAGAAAAAGAAAAGCCAGAAATAGAAGCTAACATTTATTGTGCACTGACTGCTCGGCAATATGCTAAGTTCTTTACATATTCTATTTCCTTTAGTCCACTCATGGCATTAGGGTTGTTAAAAAAAATAGTTGGATGGTTTTCATCTCCTCAAATGGAGAGGCTGTGAGAAGAGCAGATTTGGGGGAAGAGTGGAAGTTCAGTTTTGGAAATGGAAGTCTGAGATGTCTATTAGCTACATGAGTTGGTGAGTATGCAGTTGGATCAATGAATCTGGCTGTAGAAGAAAACATTTGAAATTTGTCTGCAAATAGAATTGAAAGCCATAAGATTGGATGGGATCGCCAAGAAGATGAATATAAGTAGGAAGGGGAAGCAGTCTGAGGACTACACCGTAGGTATTCCCAGTGTTAAGGGCTCAGGAAGAACCATCCAGTGAGGTAGGAGAAAGCTGGGAGAGCATTGCGTCCTGAGAGTCAAATGAAGCCTCTGGGAGCAGTGAAGTGAGAGGTGGGTCAATGCTGCTTGCAGGTCAAGTAAGGAGAGGACTGAGAATTGACCGTTGCATTTAGCAACCCAGAGGTCACTGATGGCCTTGACCAGAGCAGTTTTGGTGGACTGAACGCCTATTTGAATGGGCTCAAAAGACAATGAAGAGAGGAAATGGAACCAGTAATGGATAGAGGGGATAGGAGCTGCAATGGACGAATCCATCCGAGCTAATAACAATGTATTTAACTAGTTGAGAGCCTGACTACCTACCTATAGGAAGCTGGTCTTTGACATCATCAAAACTTCACCAGGCAGACCTATGACCAAGGCGGGATCTAGGCCACTGCTGGGGGCAGAATGGTCATGCTGTCAGGTGATTCAGCTCGTGTGTGTGTGTGTGTGTGTGTGTGTGTGTGTGTGTGTGTGCGCGCCACTTGGTGCTATGGCTCCACACTTGCCACCCCTGGTGTTAGGAACCCCTTTGCATAACCTGCCTGCCTACTCAGGTATTCTAGGAACCCAGTCTCATGTGCTTCTCTTAATGGGTGTGGTGCAGGTCTGAGAGGGCAGAACAGTTCTTCTAAGCAAAAAATAACTAGTCACAAATTTTCACACAAATTTATATCTAATTAGTGAGGACTGGCTATATACTCAAACAGTACCCGTTAACTCAATTACATAAATATTTAAGTAGCACTGTATGCAAGGCATATTCTAGATACTGAATACATTCACAGACATTCAAAGTGAGGTTTCTTCTCTGTTACTTACAATCTACTAGGAGACTTTGGAGAATACTAAAAATAACTGATAATAAGGCAGGATGTGATGTGCACTGTGATCTTTATATAAAGGGACTAACTTCTGGTCAGGGACATCTCTGTGATAGCAAAGGCATTTCAGCCAAGTTTTAAAGAAAACACTATTGAATTTCTCAAATCTTAGAATACAAATTCTAATTCAAGCATGACAGGAAACCAATGAACATAGGAAGACTACTGATAACATTAATTTAAAAAAGTAAAACTTTTAAATGGTCTTTATTTAGATTTTGTGCTTTGCTTAATTCAGGTCCTATATATTTCTTGTTAAGTTTATGCTTAGACATATTCTATTTTTCTTGCTGTTTTGAGCAAGATGCTTCTTAATCATGATGTTCTTAAACTGGTACAAAAACTAGTGATCTCTTATATTGTAAACATATTACCAGGGAAGTTCAGGAAGGCATCTAAGTTTTTCTTTTCTTTGGGGTTCCCAGGTAAACCGCTTTTTGTATTTTTCCCGAATTCATCCTGCTTGTCCGTTGGTAGCACATTGATTGCATAATTTCAAATTGCTCTTTATTTTAGGCCATCTAACCACATGGTGGCTATTTACATGCCTCCCGGAAAACTGCCACAGTAACTGTGCAGAGAAAGAGCATCAGAAGCATTCACCCAGCCTGGGGGTCGGGCCATAATATGCCTTTGGCTCCAGCATGTTCTACCTAGAGGTTTAGTGGACTCGATAAATATTGAATGGATGGTTGAATAGATGGGTGAATTACATTTGCTCGGAAGAGACTGGGGCCTAGTATTTCTACTGTAAATCTGAATCTGCTTTGTCTGCATATATCTTTCAGATATTTTTATTTAAGAAACATGACCCACTGGCTTTAAAAGAACAAAAAATAAAGCTCAACTAATCAAAGAATAGCAATGGAAGGTGGAAAATTCTATTGACAGAAGTCATATTACTTGATAACCATGTTGTCCCTTTAACATATTTTAAATGTTATGTGTAGATTTTGAAAATTAAACCAATTTTTAGAAAGTATTTTATTCCTTTACCACTTGTACAGTAATAACATAAAAAGGACTTTCATTAGAGATGCATTTCTTACATGTGTGGTGAGGATTCTCCATGGTTATGAAAACAACATTGTAGGGCGTGCTGAAGGACAGATCTTGCATATATTACTTTTAAGTCCTTCAGGCCATCTTTGCATGAAAGAAATGAAGGGAAAATGTAAGCACGTAGTAAATTAACTGTGCTGTGTTTTCCTGTTCCTATTCAGGCAGTCACCAACTATATTGGCCCCTCAGGGCGCCCACAGCATTTTAATTGTTTGGTGCAGATGGCACACATTTAGCTATCAAGTGCAGTAAGTGCCACTCATTTATGGCCTTGGCAGTCGGCAGAGGCCAGCTGCGGCCTTCTAAAATGCACTTAGGCTTCTGCCTCCCAGAGGCCTTTCTTAGACAGCCCCTGTCTGAAAGGACCTGCCCTCAACCTGTTGTGTGCATCACGGGCATTGCCACATGTATGTGTTCATTACGTGCCCACTCTACATTAGAATACAACTTCTAAGGCAGCGTTGGAGTCTTATTCACTATCCCCTACCTTTACCACTATGCCCAGTGATGGTGGGCACTCAGTGAATATATACGAAATGGATGACTATTGTCACCTGCCTGCCTTCTTCCCATCTGTAGCTGCCAGACATGGAAGGAGGGAACGTTTCTAAGGTCCTACACAGTTCACACCCAGAAAGGATCCCTGAGCACGACCTTTAACCCTGATCTCACCTTCTAGGAAACAAAACCCTTCTCTGTGTGTGTTTTTACATTCTTTGAAAGGTAAAGAAATAGTTGCTCTTATTACAAAATAAAATGATAATTTACTCATGACAATCCTCTACGAAATAGCCCAAGTAATGACTAGATTCATCCTCTTAAAGGAAGTTGGAGGGCCTATAGATCAGACCTAACAACCTGGAACATAAGAATGTGAACTAAGTTTATTCATAGGATCGATTTATTTATTTTTGCCAGTCCCCAAATTTTACTGTATTTGTGCATGTCAGTTTACTCATTATATAAACAAGCATGAAAATGCCTTCACCCAGAGTTCAGAGTGAGTATGACAGACCCGGTCACGTGACATGCTGCCTGCTCAGTCAAGTTCAGTGCCCGGGTGGTTGTATAAGCTCAGACATATTGTGGTGATCAAATACAAATCCTTAGACACTTCTATTATCCCAAAGATGTACAAGTACCTATAATTGTATTGGTTGTATTAATTCAGGATGTCTAAGCTTTTTAAAGAGAAGAATCCTTTCTTCCAACATAATCTTGCACAAGAGCTTAATGTTTATAGTGGAAGTGGATTGCTTCTCTGAAGTAAAGAAGGGCTGGGAGGTGGGGTGCAGGATCTCCCCCGGCTGTCCCTCGAGCACCTCTGGGGAATCCCAAAGGCTCCGAAGGG